CAAACTGCTTATTTATAGAATGCTTGCTCTAAGGTCTATCCTATGTTGATTTATGCATAGGAAGAAACTTGATCACTGAAGTAAAACCACTGCCAAGAAAAGCAGGAGTATTTTGTCAGGTTGGTGCATTTATGATTTGTCTTTTTCCAAGTCAGTTTTACCTTAAAAAGCCTTTAAGGTGTCACATATGAACTACGTATACCTGGACTGCATTCCAATTTGTCACGCCCAATCATGCTCTACAGAAGAGCTTTTATAAAGCAGCAAGAAACTGAGACTTTTTTCTTATGAACTCAAACAACTTCACCACTGTTAGCTTCATCAAGTATATGAGGTTGTCAGGATAAGATAACCAACATTAATTGTTAGAAAACTTATCAAATTTTAAAAGATTCTTAGAAATGTTTCATTAATTTATTATTGGGAATCTGTCTTAGTTTAGTTTTGAGTTAGGTAAGAAACAATTTACCATTCAGTGAGAATTCTAACTGCTTAAATTACTGGAGCTTTTGAGCACAATGCTATGAGAAGATAGGATCAAAATACAGTTCTATTAACTTAAACAGGCAAGAAGTGCAAAAATCTAGTCCTGAATAACTGAAGTTCAAGGAAATCTGACAGTCTTGTTTAAAATATGCCTAATGCTTAACTTGCAAGTGAACTTAGAAGTGAGGGATAAAACATGCCTCAATAGGGCTCCAAACAGTGAGAAAACATTTATAAACTGCTCCAAAGGACCAAACTCTTAGAACAAAAACTATGTTGTGATGGCATTCCTGAAGCTATAAACATCACTGCTGTTCTGCAATGTGCTTTTTTACCTTCTTGCTCTCATCTGTCTTACAGTTTTTGATCCAAGTCCACTACAATCCCTGCTCTTGAAGTATCTGCACTGCTTTAGTAGCTGACATTTTATGCTGATAATTACTCAACATACTTGAGAGCAATGCTTCTGCAAGGAAAACTAAAGGAAAACAAAACAACATCTAGAAATAATTCCTGAACAGACTATGAGATTCAGAAGAAAAGTATTAAATGTACTAAGTCTTACATGAAAAAAATAGCAAGCATTCAGAAATTGAAACTGATTAACTCCCAGGAAACAGCCCCTTACACATTCAAAAAGGGGTTTTCATTGGAGGAAAGTGGGCAAGGATGTCAAAAAATCTCAATTCCCTCTTCAAACTACCAGTAAGAATAGAGGTTAAGTTTAAGGCTGGTATTGCATCTATTGTTTCACTAAATACAATACCCACCCAACACCATTTCACAGTGTTACTGCAGATGTAAATCCATCCACACAAAACCAGGGCTACAACTCTTACATATTTTTGGTCTCTGCTTTAGACACGTAGAAACTATTTTAATACACTAAATCCAAGACACTAAGTTGCTGACACAAATAAAAGCAGGTCTTGGAACAGGAATTATTTTGTAGAATGCCTGTGATTGAGATTCAACAATGTAAAACAAAGCAAGCCATCCATAACTGGATAATAACCACTACATGTCTGAGTAATTAATGTATTACTGGCACTCAGAAGTATTTTCTATTTAAAAAATATTTCTGCTGTTGCAAAATAAATCACCATCATCAAGTTTCTCTTTCAGCCAGAAGAATGTGTGCAAAATAAAAATTAGCAAAATACTACTGGAAAATTAGTTTCCCAATTAAGCTACTGTGAAATCAGAATGCATATAAATTATTGAACTGTAACAGCACATTTCAACTAACTGACTTTTAGAAAGAAAGGGCAAAACCTTAAACAATATGAAAGTGTTTATTCATAATGTATCTAGTAGACATCACACAACTATATTAATAAATTGTTTAAGCATCATCAGGCTGCTCATTAGATTAACAATCAATGCAATCGAATTTCTAACGTTCATCATCACCAGCAATAAAGCTTCAGGAAAAGAAATCCTCTCACAGAAAATATTGTTATCATCTATCAAAATCAAGTAACTGTTAGCTGCATTAAAGTTGATTACAAGATGTCTTTCAAAAGTAGTTGTACTTTTTAAAAATCCAAGTTTAATGAGTTAGGAAAAAGATACAGATAGAAATTTCCAATGGGAAAGCCTAATACTGCAGCCTTACATGAGAGGGTCCAACTGTGGTTGCCATTGCACTTACCATTTATCTTCCTGTTTTATACTGACCAGTAAAAAGAGATAGGGTATAAGTGAAGGAAGCTTACTTTTCAAAGCTTTTAAGAAACAAAAACAATGATTAGAAACAATTATTACTGTCCTTCTAAATACATTTTTGGCAGAAGATTTCAATATGTTTTAAGTGTAATGCCAGAAGAGTTTATCAAGACTTGATACGGTAAAAAAGTATCCAACAGCATCAAAAAATGCAATTCTCACCAAAAGTCAACTTTCAACCTCTGAAAATAGAGAATCACTTTCTCAATATATGTACAGTGGTAATCTGAGAGTAGAAGTAAGTGCAAGATGCAATCTGTTCACAGTAAACGAGTACTAGTAAGAACAAATAAAAATTTATTAGTTGTTTAAGAAATTCTAAGTTGAAATCAGATTTTATGTGTCATTTTGCAATCTCCAGAAGAGCCTTAGTTTTATTCTACTGCAAAATGCAAAGGCTTTTTCAATTCCCATTCACACTATATAATTACAGTTATCTAAAAACATATTAAAACAAGCATTTATAAAATGATAGGCATGCTCAGCCACACAGCTGCCCTGATTAGAAACTGTTGCTAAAGAAAGTAAACACATCACTTGCCATTTTGTTTCCATTTTTCCTCTTTTAAAGTTTAAAGAGCATTAGAAGTAAAGCCTAAGTCAAGACATAACCAGAATATTAAAGACTAGTCCTGAGACTACATATTTTCATGTATCATTGTATATGACACTTCAATTTCATATGATGTTTAAAAAAAAATACCTGTACTGTATAGTCCTTTAAATACAAGTTAAAACATTTCTGGTAGGGTCGTTACTGCAAAACTACATCTATATATTCTTGCAGTGTATTAATTAGGTCCAGATGAACACAATTTCAGTAATGCATGAGAGTGGAAAAGCTACACTCTTCCAAAGCAGTTTTCCACCTTTCACCTCCAAAGAATTTGATGTATAAAAGTCATAAAAATAGTGATTGAAATGCTTTCCATTTGAACCACTCTTCTTCCTTTCTCATCCTACATTTTTGCAAAGTCCAGCACAACTTTAACAATTCCTCTTCATACAGGGCTTGGAATTTAAAAATGTAGATAAGCAACAAGGATGGACAATCTGTGGCAAGCAATTGAAGCACAGAAACTAAATATTCTTATATCAAGACAGATTTAAGAATAAACCAGTAAAGGCTGTGGTGGCCAACATCATCTAGTTTTCCCCACTCCAAGCTGCAGAATACAGGCCACAACAGCAATGGAATCTGAGGGAGCTACTGCCATCCCACAGCTTTGGGTTGGCTCCCCAGCTTGCTATTACTGCAGCCCTCTGCAGCAAGAAGCACGGGTCTCACAGAAGAGCCAGGAGGATTTGACAAGCAAGCTTACAGGGTCAGGAAGTCAGGCAACCCCAAAGATGCTACATTAAGTGAATGAAATTTCACATTTGGCACTACAGAGTCATCAGTAAGTGCTATTTCTAAATTACATGAGACGACTGTTACATGCTATTTCCCCAATTATGTTTAGTAATATTTGGAACACACTAAAGGACAGTATGAATTCTGAATTCTTGGTCTTCATTTCCCTGAAGAAAAGATGTGATGAAAGCAGTTTTCTTTTAGAGTGAGAACATATCAAAATAAATTACCATCTGCTTTTGGATGCAAATCCCTCAAAACAAAGTGAGCAAAACCAAATTACACCTCTTAATAAAAATCAAAGGAACTATTTTGCTTCCTCCCCATCTTTACTAAAAACATTAAGGGCAGATGAGGGGAAAAATGTCTTTCTGAGAACAGAAAATCATTTATTTTCTAACATCTCTCAGGATGTCTCAGAACATACATAATAAATTCTTTGCAACCCTATAAAAAATTTCATGGTATAGAATGTAAACCAGGTTCTCCTTTCACGGGAATAGCTGTAGCAGTTAATTTCTGATTGATGTGTGAAGTTGCACCTGTGAAGGGGAGCAAAATCCCCTCCTGCACACTACAGTTGTGTTAATAATGTGAAAGAATTGTTTGAATTGCTTATTCATTATTTCCTCACTAGGAGTAGCTGCACTAGTAAAAGGTATTGTACTCAAGAGAAACTATAGCATTTGCAACATAGTCTGCATTCACTGAACTGATCTGGTCAGTAGAAAAAAGTCATACACTTTGACCAAAATAATTTAGATTATGACTCCTCTGATAGCACCATTTTGTTAGTCCTGCAGGATGAGTCTTCAGAGGCATACCTAAATTACTAATATAAATAACGTACAGATTATAGCGAGGACAAATTTCCCCTCACCTTTATAATCTTTCAATCTCCTTTAGTAATGATTTGGATGTTCTCCTCATCTACCTTTATGCAGGGTCAAAAGGGAGAGTGATTTTAGGCTCCATATGAAATTAATATTGCCCTTTTTGTTTCTAAAAACTTTCTTAATAAATTAAGCATAAATCAAAACCAGTAATTCAAACAATCTTAGCAGCATGAACTGGTTTAAAATTTAAACCTTCAGGCAGGGTAGGGCACATCAGGATGGGTGATTCCTACCATCTCCCACTTACAAAAACTATTTTACAGAAACATTTCAATTCCCAAGTAAAAAAAATTAGTATCTGAACACCTCCACTGAACAGAAGTGTTACATCACCAGCTTGTAGGAAAAATAAGAGTGATGTCATCATATGAAAGAGTAACTACACTACTGAGTATGTAGCAATTCACTCAGGGGAACAATGAAAATACTGAAGTGAAAACAGCCAACACGAAGATGCCAGTTCAATAACTAGTATAAAAATAATGTAATAAAAGATTATTTTGCAATTTGGATTTTCACCATAGAATTGTACTTACATTGTCCATGAAATTAGGTTTAAATCCTCCCTCCTGCTGTCGTCGTAATTCCTCCTGTTCCCTCTGACGTAGCATCTCTTCTTCACGACGTCTGTGTTCTTCTTCATGTCTAGGATATTTTTCAAAATTATCTCAGCTTAGTCTATTGATCTGTTCAGGCTTGCACTCAACCTCAGAGGTAAGATCAAGCATATAAACAAAATTGTCCATGATTTACTTTTTACATAGTGCAAGGCACTAGTCTATTCAACTTGATGAGTTTGAGTACTTTTGAAGTTTTGATTTGTTTTTCTTTCACTGGAGTACAAGTAATTTCAAAACCAATCCAATTCTATATGTACTCTTCCAGCTATATATCAATAAACAGTTTAAAATATTCCAGTTTTTTAAGAAGCCACTATGGATTAAAACATTTCAACAGTGCCAAAAGACACGATTTTTAATTATGAGATGTGTTTGTACTTTCCTTTTATCTTTCTGACATTTATTGTGATATTTAACAAAAAGTATAAATCAATATGATGAGACCACGTCTATTTTCTTAAACTTTAAAAGAGGCATTAAAACAAGTACTTGCATAAATCAAATCCTAAAAGAAAAATTGTTTTCAACATACTAGAATATGTTTGATGCTATCATTCTACATGCAAATTGCCTGCCCATAAAATTTAGACGCATG